TACTTTGGGAGGCTGAGGCAAGTGGATTGCATGAGCACGCAGGTTTAAGACCAGCCTGGGCAACTTGACGATACTGCATCGCTACAATAAATAAAAATTAGTCAGGCATGGTAGCACGCGCCTGTAGTTCCAGCTACTTGGAAGACAGGTGGAAGGATCACCAGAGTCCAGCAGGTCAATGGTGGGGTGGCTGTGACCGTGCCACTGCATTCCAGCCTGGGCGAAGGAGTGAGATTCTAACACAGAAAGAAAAAAGAAAAAAAAAATTAGCAGGGTGTGGTGACCCGTGCCTGTAGTTCCAGCTATAAGGATCACCTGAGCCCAACAGGTCGAGGCTGTGGTGGCCGTGATCGTGGCACTGCACTCTAGCCTGGGCGACAGAGTGAGACTCTGACTCAAAAATATTAATAAATAAATAATGTGGAGTGCAATTACAGAGTCCTTTGCAATATATAATTCCTCTTTTTTTTTTTTTTTTTAGTTGGGGGGTCTTGCTCTGTCACCCAGGTGGAAGTGTAGTAGCACAATCATGGCTTATCACAGCCTTGACTTCCTTGGCTCAGGCAATCCTTCCTCCTCAGCCTCCTGAGTAACTGGGTTTATAGGCATGTGCCACCACACCGGCTAATTTTTAAAATTTTTTTGTAGAGACAAGGTCTCACTATATTGCCCAGGCTGGTCTTGAACTCCTGACCTAAAGCAATCCTCTCTCCTTGACCTCCCAAAGTGCTGGGGTTACAGGCATGAGTGTTCGGCTCCAGATGTTTTTATTTTATTTTATTTTATTTATTTTTTATTTTTTTTTAAGTTGGAGTCTCACTCCGTTGCCCAGCCTGGAGTACTCACGGCCACCTCAGCCTGGCACACTCACGGCCACCTCAGGCCTGACCTTTTGAATTTTGTTCAATGTGCATATAATATAAATTAAAAAAAAAATACATAGTTTTTCTTAAAGAACCTTAAATTAAGTACTTTCTATGAAAGCTGGAGAGATAAAAATTAAGAGATAATTCTTTTCACGTCTTGGGCGCAGAAGCTGGGGCTCCTCTGTGATCCTTGCATATTCACACATTCATTTTTTTCCTTTTCTATTTTTTTTTTTTTTTTTGAGTGGAGACTGAGGAGGAAGGATTGTCTGAGCCCAGCAGGTCGAGGCTGCGATGGCAATGAGCATGCCACTATACTCTAGCCTGAGCAACAGATTGAGATTCCAACTAAAAAAAAAAAAAAAAAAAAAATTAAATAAATAAATAAAGCAAGTTTATTACATAGGGTTTGTTTTAGCATATTTTCAAGTTTCTCAGTTTAGCACAGATTCATTAAATTCTATGAAATATTCAAACAGTGTCAGGCATGACCATGGGGAGGGCTTTGAATAGGAGTTGTTTTTCAGGATCTGAGAAAAGCTTGTACCTGACAGTTGTCTGTAGTTGGTCACTTTGCCGTTTTCAGAATGTGTTCATATACACTATCAGCTGATCCTTTGCACAGAAGACCCACATGATTCTATCCTCAGCTTTGTCCATGTACTAAAATTAGAACTGGCCTGATGTTACATTTCATTTGGTTACAGCTGACTGAGAATTTAAGCCTTGGAGCCACCCCAAAGAAGTTCCCTGGTCGTCCACACTTAGCTGATAGTCACCGACTTCGGGTATGTTGACTTCTGCATCCACAGACAATGGTAAGTGTTTTTTTAAAAACACCTCCCCTCTTTCTTCACATAGCGAGGCATTGCTGATGATGCCCTGACTGTGTTTGCCAGAATGTCCAGCAAGCTGGAATTGAATTTGGAAGTTTTCTGTGGAGTCACAGGCCATCATGGACTTGTCCTCCTCTGGAAGATAGATTTCCCAGGAGTAAGGTGCTTTTCTTCTGGGATTGTGCCTCTTTTGCTTTCATTTGATTTGGGGAAGCCAGTGTCCCAGGCATGACTGTGCTCTGCGGACCTGACTGTCATGCTGTGCTTCTCTGTTCTGGCAATAATCGAGGTAGAGCCCACAGTCTTGTGCTGGAACAAGAAGGACATGCATCACCATCGAGTTGTGTGCTTCCAGGGAGATTGATCATTACAGGGAAACTGAGGGGTGGTGGCTGACGCGTAATGGCAAGTGAGAAAAGGAATGAGCAAGAGAACAAATAGTTATCTATGTCTAGTAAATTGTATGAATGCATGTGGATACTTGGAATTTTAAATTTTTTTTTTTTTTTTTTGAGTTGGAGTCTCACTCTGTCACCCAGACTACAGGCACGCGCTACCATGCCCAGCTAATTTTTTGATTTATTGTAGAGATGAGCTCTCGCCAAGTTGCCCAGGGGGGTCTCGAACCCGCAGGCTCAGGCAATCCACTCACCTCAGCCTCCCAAAGGGATTACAGGCTGAACCACCGAGCCCGGCTGGAATTTTTAAATTTTTAAACATTATTGATATTGCTTGAAACCCTTCAGAAGAAACTTTAAACTTCTTAAACTCTGAGACAATACGTTGGAAGTTGACTGTGGATGTACCCAGGTGGTTGGATGGCCCAGCACAGGCATCCCAAGGTTTCTTGATGGCAAAAAGAGCTTGCGTTCTGTTCCTGAGTCCATTCATTGCTTAGAAATAGGGGCACACTCCTCTTCTTCTTCTTTTTTTTTACATATTGCTAATTATGTGTCAATTCTGAAATTTTAAGCTTTCTTCTTCTGTAACATGGTTCTCTCTTTCTCTCTGTTTTTGTCTCTGTCACACACACTGCATACTGTTAGCTTTTTTTAAATCAATAATTTAGAAGAGGTTAAAAATGTAAAGCAATAGTCTCTACCCCATTCCTCTATATCACCAATATTACTCTTTAGAAATAACATTTTAACCATTTCAGGGTTTTGTGTTCAGTGAGTATCTCAATATTTCTTACTTTTTTTTTTTCAAAGGTGGTTAGGGCAGGCATGGTAGCTTATGCCTATAATACTTTGGGAGGTCAAGATGGGAAGATCGCTTGAACCCAGGAATTCAAGAGCAACCTGGGAAACAAAGTGAGACCCATCTCTATAAAAAACAGAAAAATTAGCTAGGCGTGGTGGTGCATGCCTGTAGTCCCAGCCACTCAGACTTTTCCAGTGTAGCATTGAACAGAGGTGGTGACTGTAGACATTTTTTGTTTGGTTGTTTTTTTTTTTTTTTTTTGAGTTGGAGTCTCATTCTGTCACCCAAGCTTGAGTACAGTGGCATGATCACAGCCACCATAGCCTCAACCCGCTGGGCTCGGGTAATCCTTCCACCTCAGCCTTCCAAGTAGCTGGAACCACAGGCACGTACCACCTTGCCCAGCTAATTTTTTAATTTATTGTAGAGATGAGGTCTCACCATATTGTGCAGGCAGGTCTCAAGCCTGTGGACTCAGGTAGTCCTCTCACCCCCACCTCCCAAAGTGCTGGGATGACAGGCGTGAGCCACCGCACCTGGCCTGCGAACATCTTTGTATTCCTGAATTTGGGAATTACGAATCAAATTCTTTGTTTCTAACAGTGAAAAATCAACACCGTTACTTAGGCCATAAGATAGTCCATAAAATAGATCTACTACAATTCACATAATCACGCCCTGCTATCAGGTATTTCCTGCTATTTCTGAGCTCCCAGGTCCCAATCTTCAGACTGTATCTGCCTGTTTACAGTTTAGTATACACAGGAGCAGACAGCTCCAGTATCTGACCACATACCCAGTCCAGCTAGAGTCTATGGTCTCCAGAGTAGATGACCATCCCATGGTGCCAGCCTTATTTTACATGTGTGTTATGTAACACTTCTGCTGTAACTCGATGTGTGGGTGGTAGATGACACAGTGCTAAGGGAATTGGACTGGACACCATCCCCCACCACTACCATGCATGAGCCGTGAGACTCTGAGCAAGTGGCGCCTCTTCCTTAAGGCTCAGTCTTCTCACCTGTATGGCTGAGTCAATGAAAGTACCCATCTGGTAGCATCTCATGAGGAGTCTTAACTATATTCTTTCTTCTTTTTTTTTTTTTGAGTCAGAGTCGCCTTCTGTCACCCAGGCTGGAGTGCAGTGGCATGCTCACGGCCACGGCAGCCTCGAGCTGGAGTCAGGCGATCCTTCTGCCTCAGCCTTCCAAGTAGCTGGAACTACAGGCGCGTGCTACTGTGCCTGGTTTTTTTCTTTTGATTTATTGTAGAGACGAGGTCTTATCAAGCTGACCAGGTTGGTCTCGAACCCCTTAGCTCAGGCAATCCTCTTGCCTCAGCCACCCAAAGTGCTTGGATTACAGACTTGAACCACTGTACCCAACCAACTGTATTCTTTGTTGTTGTTGTTGTTGTTGAGTCGGATTCTCACTCTGTCGCCCAGGCACGCTCACAGCGACCAAAGCCTCGACCTGCTGGGCTCAGGTAATCCTTCCAGCTCAGCCTTCCATATAGCTAGAACTACAGGTATGCACTACCATGCCTGGTTAATTTTTTATTTATTGTAGTAACAAGGTTTCACCAAGTTGCCCAGGCTGATCTCAAACTCTGAGCTCAGGCAATCTTCTCTCCCCCACCTCCCAAAGTGCTGGATTACAGGCGTGAGCCACTGTGCTCAGCTATTTTTTTTTTTTTTTTGA